GTCACCAATTATTGTGAAGTACGGCGACTTGATTGCAAGTGAACCTCGAGAGTTTGCGCGCTGGGAGCCCAACCTAAATAGCTGCCTGTCTAGACCTAAAAAGGTTTCAAAATATGCAATATTTTTAGTAGAATATTAAAAATAGTCAAATCTAAGCTGGATAGCGATGTATATTTTGAGAAAAAAAATGCAATCTTGAATTCTCTTCAAACTCTCTTTAAAACTGTTCATTAACTAAGATCAAGGTATTATTCATTCAAGTAGCTAGGCCTCAGTTGTTCCCTTTAGGTGATGGAGCTATATTACGCAGAAACTGTTCAGTTGGAGAAGGACTACCTTCTCGGAGCTTTAGCATGTCACAAAGACATCACAGCCTTGAAAGGGTGAGGAAAAATTGCACTTCAGAAAAGTTGACACCAATTTTGTACATCTTCTCCTCGCTTGGGTTCTGTGTGGAATATTTCAATCAGTTGAAAGTCCTTTGCGCATTCCGTCAGTTGGTCCAGCAACTTGGTCGCTAGAGAAAGATAGTCATGCCCACTATCAAAGGGGAAGAGTACCGTCTGATGGAGGGAGACTTGGGTTCCATGGTGAAGGGGCTATTGCAGCGAATCAACATGGCTTCACCAGTGGTGACGGTCGCAATCGCGGCAGCACCTGTCTGCAGGCGACCGACTCGAAGACGATCAACTGGTTGTGAGTATTGGAGCACTTCTGCGCGATAGAGTAGAAATGTAAGCCGTTCTTATTGATGACGTCATCGATTGTTAAATCTCGCCTCCAGATTAAAAAGGCTAGAGGAGTCCCACTTTTTCAATAACAAGAGACTTGCCTTGTTGACAGCGACTCAACATATATACCATCTTTCCTATGCGGAATGCAAGCGATCGGTATACTAGCATAGCGGAACGGTAATGGTGGATACTTGCATCGCAACCACTTAACGAGGGCCATCTCTCGCCACTGGACCTTAGAAATTTACGGCTTTATCAAAATGGCAGGCAAGCCTTAACGTTGCACGCGAGCACAAAGTAACAGGGCTATCCATTGGCTGCTTCGATTGATCTCTACAACCCGGAGACTGTCGCACATTTCTCATTGTTGCCGCCGTTTGTGAGTGGCTGTCTGCCTCTCTGTCTCCGTTGGATACATACTCAAAATATGACTTCCAATCTCCAGGATGTGATGGGGTCTTTCGTTAGTCGTTTAGTATGTGGAAGGTCTCTTCACTTCCTCGTTGTTTCAACTTCAATGGGCAACGATTTTTTGTTCTGTACCTTTTTTTTTTCTTGGAGAGAAAAACCGTCAAAGTGCGACACTAGAACATTTCACTATTATTGTGGTATCTGTCAAATATCTGTAGAACTTCAGACTTCTTCTGCTGGCTCTGGATCGTAATTCGTCGTTTGTTCGCCTTCAAGATATGGCCAACGTTTTCCTCGTGGTATCCAAAAATCCCGTAGGCGCCGAATTCATGTTCAATTTCCTCCTCGAGCGGTGGGAGGAGCATTCTGAGAGGTACAATTATTTACAATATAGAACTCTGAATCCTCCTCTTTCATACTTAACGGAACTATTTAGAAGATATGAGTTCATTAGCAGAAAGGAATTTATTAGTACAAAAGAATACACATAGTTCGAAGATTATCTGAAGATAGTAGATCAGCATTTTTCCTTGTATCTAACACCTCTTTTGTTTGTCGATTTTCATTCGCTCATCAATTCATACTCTGAAGGATAAGGATATAAAAGGATAAAGCATTTGCCGTTGATCAATCCCTTTTTGGGATGCGGCACGCGTTCTACTTCCATTTGTACATTCGTAGTGGCGTTTGAATGCGATGTGGCCTATACAATGACTTGCGGGGGCCGCGACCCGGATTTGATGCCCGGACCGCTCGCGTGGTAAGCGTGCTACTATGTACACACCACCTCCGCATATCACGAACAAAGATATTTATGTGGCTTCAGCAGGTCGCATTAATTTTTTCTTTGTAAGAGGCAGTAGCACGAAGATACCTCACTTATCAATTATCGGCAGTCGAAATGCAATCGGTTGAACGCACAGCAGCTACAAAATTTTGAAATCTGTTATGAAGAAATCCATTTAGTAGCGATCAAATGTGTTCGCCGGAACACTTTTTCCTACTTATTTTTCTTTTTTGGTGAATTCGCTTCACAATTGATACGCTGTGTCCTCTGTCTTTTTCCGAACCAAAGCATCGAAGTATCCAAAAGAAAAAAATCTCATTTTCTGGCTCATCACGGTACATGTGAGAGTGCAGGCGAGTTATGGTAAATATAACATAAAACGCTTATTCAAGGGTAAGTGGTGCTCCGATGGTGTACTCAGCAGCAGCAACTGCCCGGAAAGTGAGGGGTGCGAATTCGACTCCTGAAGGGAGCAAACTGTTTTCGTGAAATAGCTGTAAACCAGCCTAGCTGTTTGGTTTACAGCTATTTCACGAAATCACGAATCTAATTTTCAAATATTTCCAAGAAGAGAAAGTGGAAGAAAATCGTTTCGGAGCACTTTTTGACCGCTCTTTATGAAGATGGCAAGATCAGAGCTGTGGAGAAAGGAGGTTATAGTAGGGAATTAACAGTCGCAGCTTCACGTTGTTTAGGAGAGGAGGTTGAGCAGGTACTGGGTCCAAATTCACTATTCTGAAACATATGGTATCAGAAAGCATCTGGTGATGGACGTCATACCTCATAGGCTAATCGACTTTTCTACCTCACTGTGATGGTTTTGGTAATACCACGGTGTCTGACGAATTGTGAACCTGAACACTATTTTTTTGTACCGACTAGAGAACGACTTCTTTTTTTTATAAATTTTAAGAAATAGATAACAGTTAGTTCATCGCTTCTTCTGCGATTTCTCCCATAATAGCGAGTTGGATGATGAATTTCAGCTTGCCAACCGAACACAGAGCTGTTGAAAAAGTGATCAAATATTGTACCGCTGGCATTCGATCTGAACACCAAATAGATCAGGTTAGATTTTCACGTTTTTTGCTTCTTTTTGAATCGCAAAATGAAGCAATCATAAGCTAACTATACGGACTTACAATCAAAAACAAGTCAAAAATATAAGATCTTAGTTTATGTCGTTATTATAGTCTATCATATTGTAGTTCAGTGGTTATATAATACTTGTTGCGTCGAGCTTAGTGTAGTGAAGTCGTTATACACGTGTAAAGTTATTTAACCTCTACAGCCAAGAGCGATAGGAAGACGATGAGACAACCAAGAGTGGACCTTAATAGTCTCGGCATCATAGCCCTGTTGTTCTTAGTAATAAGTGCGAACAGTTTAAGCCA